TCGGTTTGAACTGCAGCAGATCGTCTTGACCATGTCTACATGCCTAAATGCATTGAGTTGCTGCCATGTGATTGGCTGATTAGAAATTTGCATTAAGAAGCTGTTGGACAGGTGTACCTAATAAAGTGGCCAGTGAGTGTATAATGACATATGAATTGAGATTTATATTTTTTTTCCTCAAAGAGAGAGAAACTGTGATCAATTTTAGAATAAACGAGAAAAATAACTTCAGGAAATACTTTCTATTCTCATACCGAAATGCCATAAATTATAAGAAAAAGACACGAGTAAAATTTACTTAAAATAAAATAAAACACAAAACAAAATAAAACACAAAATAACACAAAAAATATAATAAAAATTAAAACTAAATAAAATAAAACAATAAAATAAAATAACACAAAACAAAAACACAAAAAAATAAAATAAAAACAAATAATAATAATGATAATATTATTAAAATAAACCTATATAGATTAAAAATTCTTGTGTGTGTGTGTGTGTGTGTGTGTGTGTGTGTGTGTGTGTGTGTGTGTGTGTGTGTAGATGAAGAGTTCAGATGCAAAACCCTCTAAATCCAGCAGACCTCTTTTCTTGTAAATGAGCATTTTCTATCAGGCTCCTCTGATAAGGTTTAGAAGTTTCATCTTATATGTAATGATAAGGTTACTAGCTAGTAAATAAAATACCTTTTTTCAAAAATGTCACTTAAGACAATTCTTAAAGGTAAACTTTCTTTGGCGTCAAAACCAGCTAAATCCACTTGTGTTTTTTTTTTAAACCCTCTAAATCCACCTATTGGGACAAGACAATTGTATTTAGTTGAAAAATCAATAAAGATGCAATTAGAAATCATTTTGCCAAACATAACACATACACAAACCACCTGAAGTTAAAAACACATAAATCTGTCAAGTAAGTGGTGGTTCATTACGCTGTGATAAACCAGGGAAAAAGCAGAAGAAAGATGAATGAATAAAATCTGTCAAGTGCATTAATCAATAACATTAAAACTGAAATTAATTAAATCTTAATTATCTGTTGTCATTTCTGATATTTGGGATTTAGATTTAATGAAAGTAGAGCAATGTAAACGTTGTAAACATTGTAAACTAAGCTTGGTAGATCCAAGTAATGTAGTGTAAAACATTCCTAAAAACCAGAGCAGCAATCTTAGACCAAAAAACATTCTCTTAATTAAACAAACAATATTGTTTAATGCTCTAGAAAATGCTTTTTAAGAACAACAAACAAGACAAAACTCAAAACAAGAAAAGCTCCTGGTGAACTATAATTCAGACTTTACATTGCAAAACCTGAATATCAGTGCTGAAGCTATGTATTGTTATCGATATATACTGGGACTGATGATAAACACACACATGTTGTTCAAATCTGAAATACTGAGACCTGTAGAATGTATTAATGTATTGAAGGAAGAGTCAACCTGTTATTGCAGTTTTAGTTCTGATAAGAGTTTCTGTAAGAAAAGCTGATTGTAGATCTGCATGATAAAGGCTATGCAGCACAGAATAAGCACATGACTTTTAAACATGAAAAACCTGCTATAGATATTACAGCTCACTGCTTGTAAAAGTGCTGAGTGAGGCTGAAAATATAAAAAAAAAAACATTACTTTTCTTGAAGATAGACTCATTTTACAGCTTAACAGTTCAGTTTTAGCATTTTTGAATCCATTTAGCTAATATTTAGGTCTGGTGGGAGCACTTTTAGCTTAGCTTAGCATAAATTATTGAACCGGATTAGTAACTGTTACCTAGTTACTTAACTGGGGAGTATTTTCAGGCGTAATATTATTGTGCCTGCTTCAACTATGGTATAGCAAAGTTACTTAATTATTACGCCATTATGTGAGTGTAGTTTCTAGACATATCAACCCAGGCCCGGATTGGCCAATCGGGAGAGTTCCCGGTGGGCCGGTCCGTTTTTTGGCCGCGAGGGCCGGTGTTTCTAGCTGCTTGCTCTCTCATCAGTCGCACTTTTTTTTATTAATTTATTTATTTTACCATAGCCTCAGTCTTTTTATTCATTATTTTGCCATAGCTCCGCTCTTCTTATTTATTGTCTCGCAGCCTCATGAGCAAAATGCAGCCTGCTGGGTAATGATGGTTTAACTATCATTCCGGCCACGCAAGTGTAACAGCGCCATTGTGGTCCAGTGGTCAGCACGTTGCGTTACAACGTCGTCGGTCCATGTTCGATCCTCATCTGAGTAATTCTTTTTATTTTATTTTTTTCATTTTTGTTGTTAAGACATATAAAACTGTAAGGTTGTTAAACATTTGAAGTTTTAAAGCAGCTGTTTTCTTGAAAAAGATGTAATAGTGTAATTAGAAACTGAATTGGAAATGACCTTATTTTAATATATTCAGTCGTGAACTGAGGTGGGCCGGTCTAATGCTTGAAACTCCAGGGCTGAAAAGGAGTCCCACTCCGGCACTGTATCAACCTAAAAAATAACAACTGTCATTTACTTTTGCTCTTAATACACGATGTAAATACAGAAGAGTCAAGCTTTAAATAGGAAAATGAATGAAACTCTTTTTTTGAGCAAGATGCTAATGGTCTAATCCAATTTAATGATTTATGCTAAGCTAAGCTAAAAGTGATCCCGCCAGACCCGGAGATTGGCTGAATCATGGGATCAAAATTGGGTAAACTCAACTTTTTCTTTAACAATAAAAACAAAAATTCCAAGGGTACACAAAGTTCTTTAAATATTACGCCAGAATGTGAATATAGTCTTTGACATATCGACCTAGGCAAATAGCAACTTTCTGTCGGTCATAGGATATGATATAACTACAGAAGAGTCCAGCTTTAAATAGGTAAATGATCAAAACTCTTTTTGGAGTGAGATGCTAATGGTCTAATCCAATTCAATGATTTATGCTAAGCTAAGTTAAAAGTGATCCCGCCAGATCCCATCATGGATTCAAAATTGGTAAAACTCAACTGTTTCTTTAACAATAAAAACAAAAATTCCAAGGGTACACAAAGTTTTTTAAATATTACACCAGAATGTGAATATAGTCTTTGACATATCGACCTAGGCAAATAGCAACTTTCTGTCGGTCATAGGATATGATATAACTACAGAAGAGTCCAGCTTTAAATAGGTAAATGATCAAAACTCTTTTTGGAGTGAGATGCTAATGGTCTAATCCAATTCAATGATTTATGCTAAGATTAGCTAAAAGTGCTCCAGCAAGACCCAGAGATCAGTCGAATGGATTCAAAAATAGTAAGACTTAATTGTTCCTTTAACAATAAAAACAAAATCACAATAGTACAGCAAAGTTCCCTAATTATTACGCCACAGCAGTCCTAGACATATCGACCTAGGAAAATAGCAACTTTTCCTTTCCTGTTGCTCTTAGTATATGATGGAAATACAGGAGAGTCAAGCTTAAAATAGGAAAATGAATCCAAGTCACTGATTTATGCTAAGCTAAGCTAAAAGTCCTCCCGCCAGACCTGGGGATCGCTGAATGGATTCAAAAACAGTGAAACTCAATTGCTCCTTTAACAATAAAAACAAAATTACAAGGGTACGGCAAAGTTCCTTGATTATTACGCCAGTGAGTATAGTTCCTGTACATATTGATCTATGAAATAGCAACTTTTTTTATTGGTCATATAATATGATATAACTACAGAAGAGTCCAGCTTTAAACAGGAAAATGATCAAAACTCTTTTTGGAGCGAGGTGCTAATAATCTAACCCAATTCAATGATTTTTGCTAAGCCAAGCTAAAAGTGCTCCTGCATGCACATACAGATAAAACATCTGCTGATCACAGTATTCACATCTGTCAATGGAAAAATACACTGTACAAGTTGATTATTATTACATTTATACTGCAAAATAAAGCTTAAATATCATAATTATTGTTATTACACTCTGAGAAAAAAAAACATACGAGCTGTCACTGAGTTGGAATCGTTCAAAAATGACACAATTTGTTACCTCAGAGGTCCCTCTAAAGTTTACAAATTAATACTTAAGTCATTTTAAAAGGTGCTGCCCAGGTGACAGCTCTCATACCTTTTTCCTAAGAGTTTAAGTGATACTAAATATTTTTGAAAATAGGCTCAGTTCACAACTCATCTTGAGCATTTTTAATCAATTTAGCTGATAGACATGGCTTAGTGCAAGATGTAACTACATGTGTCAACTTTACAGGAAAATTATTAAAACTCATATTCTTTTTTTTAAGAGGAGATGCTAATGGTCTAATTTAGTTCAATGATTTATGCTAAGCTAATCAAAAAGTGCTCCAAGCAGACCCAGAGATCAGTCGAGTGGCTTACAAAATGGTAATACTCAACTATTCATCATCGGTTAAGTTATACAAATTCTAAATTAAACATTTAATTGATGCAAGTTGAAATAACGGATATATTTAATGTAATTCAACTCAATTATTTAAAGCAGCAACAAATCTTTTACAGTGTGGATACTGGTAATTTGGAAATATGCATTAGTACCTAAAGTGCACAAATTATAAACGTTTTAAAAAAAGTTACCCCCAGTGACAGCACCATTTTTTTATGTCTGAATAAAAATATACAAAATAAAAACAAAATAAAACTACTTATGCATTTAAATACATTTATAGATAAATAAAAATAAAAGCATAAAGTGTAATTATATTTAAGCACATTAAAAAAGCATCCATGTAAATATTTAATGCATTTATGTAAATATTCGTCATTTTTTAATTAAATAAAATGAATTAGTTATATTATTGGCAACAGTGCAAAAAGACCAAGTCAACAAAACACTGAGCCACAAACACACTCACTCAGAAAAAACCTTAATCTGGCAACAAAGAAAAGAAGATCCAAATGATCTATAATCTGATGGTAGATTACTGCTTGCAATGATTACTAAATGAATATATATGATATTCCCCCCAAATTCTGAACTTACATGCACAGTCATTCACTCCAGACGAGCACATAAATCCCCTCACCTTAATGTGTCTTGTCCATTCCTGGAGATCAGGTTGTCTACCTTAAGTTTATCCATGGCTCCGCCCTTCACAGTCACTGGTGGAGCAACTCCCTGTCAACACAAAACACACACTCACAGTCATTTCAGACTCTCTAGATGACACAAAACAACCACACAGCAGCTTTCGAAATTCACCAGTGAGCGATAACTAAACTGGTTCAACAGGAATACTCTATCTGCATCCTTGTTGTCTCTCTCTGTCAAACATTCGCCCATGCTTCTCACTTCTTTTCAAAGGATTAATAAAGCCTTTAGAGTCGCCAATCAAAACAAATTCAAAATGCAATGCAAATAATTAGAAAATAAACACAAATAAGAAGAAAAACATAATGATGCACCATGAAAGAGAAAGTGCGCTTTCCTCAGCGCGGAGCCGAAGCTTCTGGTGGTCCTGAAAACACCATGTACTCCACCCAACACACACACGCATAAACACATGGGACCCCCTCCTCCTCATGGGACGCAGCAAACACACAAAAAGTGACCTAGATTGTGGAGGTAAAGAGCGATTATCCCCCCGCTAGGCCACATGCTCCTGAGGGCCACAGAACCGGTGGAGCTTTTGTTAATGTGCATCTCCATCTTTACTGAGTGCACTGTTCACATGAGGACAACAGAGACTGACAGAGAGAGTTTAATGGAGAGATGACTGTATGACATAACATTTTTGAAAGGTGAAGGCAGAAACAGACATTTATATACAGTATATACGTGTGTGTGTGTGTGTGTGTGTGTGTGTGTGTGTGTGTGTGTGTGTGTGTGTGTGTGTGTGTGTGTATAAAATGATTTCAGGTTTTCAACATAAATGATTAATGTTGCCATCATGTGACACTAAAGAACACAATAATGACTAGTGAATATTCAGCTTTTCCATCACAGAAGTAAAATTACAACAAACACAAATGAGTTTAGAATACATCCAAAACATTTACAATATTATTATATAGCAAGTATTTTGCACTTGTTTGTTTAATGTAGTTTTACTTTAATTTTACTTAATATTTATTTATTTATTTAAGTATATTATTTTTATTTAGTATATTTATTTATTTATTTATATATTTTTATTATTTAATATATTTTTTATTATTTAATATATTTATATATTTATTTATATATTTTATTTATTTATTTTTATAATTAATACAAGTGGCAGCATGTTTCTGTTTAGGGCTTTACAGTTTGGGGAACATTTTATATTGTGATTATTGAGATAAAACATGGTATTATGAATCTGAATCCACTCACTTGTCAATAAAAGAAATATATATTAAAATAATATACTTTTCCTGTCATATAATTTCACTGGCTGACATTGAAATTTTGATATGATTTATCTTGACCCATTATTTCTGATGACTAATGGTTTACAATACAGAAAAGAAAAAAAAACTACATTTTGGTGCCGATAGCCTTGTGGTTCGAGCCCTGATCCCTCTTTCAATCTCCAACTTCACTTCCTGTAAATATCAATATATACCCTCATATCATAGTAAAGGCAAAATGGCAACAATGAATCCTAAAATTTATATATCTAATATTAAGATTTATTTTTTGTATGTATTTGTGACATACACACTGTATATACATACACTCAACGGCCACTTTATTAGGTACACCTTACTAGTACTGGGTTCGACCCCCCTTTTTCCATCAGAAGTGCATTAATCCTTGGTGGCATTGATTCAAAAAGGTACTGGAAATATTCCTCAGAGATTTTGATCCATATTGACATAATAACATAACACAGTTTCTGCAGATTTGTCGGCTACACATCCATGATGTGAATCTCCCGTTCCACCACATCCCAAAATTGATCTATTGGATTGAGAGCTAGTGACTGTGGAGGCCATTTGAGTACAGTGAACTCATTGTCATGTTCAAGTAACCAGTCTGAGGTGATTCACCCTTTATGACAAGGCATGTTATCCTGCTGGACGTAGCCATCAGAAAATGGTTACACGGGTTTCAAAGGGATGGACATGGTCAGCAACAATACTCAGGTAGACTGTGGCGTTGACACAATGCTCAATTGTTGGTAATGGGACCAAAGTGTGCCAAGAGAATATCCCCCACACCATTACATCAACACCAGCCTAAACCGTTAATACAAGGCAGGATGGATCCATGCTTTCATGTTGTTGATGCCAAACTCTGACCCGACCATCCAAATGTCGCAGCAGAAATGGAGACTCATTAGACTTGCTTTTTAATCTTCTATTGTCCAAGTTTGGTGAGCCTGTGCCAATTTTAGCCTCAGTTTCCTGTTCTTAGCTGACAGGAGTGGCACCCGGTGTGGCCTTCTGCTGCTGCTGTAGCCCATCTGCCTCAAGGTTTGATGTGTTGTGTGTTCAGAGATGCTCTTCTGCAGACCTTGGTTGTAACGAGTGGCTATTTGTGTTACTCCTCCCTTTCTATCAACTGGAACCAGTCTGGCCATTCTCCTCTGACCTCTGGCATCAACAAGGCATTTGCGTCCACAGAACTGCCGCTCACTGGATATTTTATCTTTTTCAGAACATTCGCTCTAAACCCTAGAGATGGTTGTGCGTGAAAATCCCAGTAGATCAGCAGTTTCTGAAATACTCAGACCAGCCCGTCTAACACCAACAACCATGCCACGTTTAAAGTCACTTAAATCATCTTTCTTCCCCATTCTGATGCTCGGTTTGAACTGCAGCAGATCCCGTTGACCAAGTCTACATGTCTAAATGCATTGAACTGCTGCCATGCGACTGGCTGATTAGAAATTTGCATTAACAAGCAGTTGGACAGGTGTACCTAATAAAGTGGCCGGTGAGTGTATATACACATTTTTTGTGTGTCTTTACAATTGCAGTCTATTTGAAAACAAAAAAGAGAAAGAAGAAAACAAACGAATTAAAAAAACTGATGTGTGTCCACTTTAGGGATGTTTACGAGCTAAATAGGCTTGAAGTAAACACAATAAAACAACCATGGTCAAGCGCATGGCCGTGTGAGTAGTGTATATATTGAACATGTGTGTCCTTGGCTCTTGGGGTGCTCAGTCTGTTTGCATAAGACCCACATGCAGTGGCTCAACTCTTGGGAATCCAGTAATTGAATAAACGTCAAAGCCTAATGAGAGAGTTTGTAAGTGACAGTGTGCAGGGATCTGCATCACAAACGTGTTTCTCCATGACCTTTGAGTTCATCTCATCCATCCATCTCCTCTAGAGATGTTACAGCAAAGTCTGATCATCAATCTATTCTACTGTACATGAAAACTCAGTACAAGTGCTAACATCAGATGCCATAAACTAACCTAAAGTGATTAAAGAGAGTGCAGGAAACCATGGTGTTCATTATGGTTTATCTGCAAGGGTGGCATGGTGGCTCAGTGGTTCACACTCACAGCAAGAAGGTCGCTGGTTCAAGTCCCGGCTGGGCCAGTTGGCATTTCTGTGTGGAGTTTTGCACGTGTTGGCGTGGGGTTCCTCTAGGTGCTTCGGCTTCCCCCACAGTCCAAAAACATGCGAGATAAGTGAATAGGAATAACTAAATTGGCCGTAGTGTATGAGTGTGTGTGTGAATGAGAGAGTATATGGGTGGTTCCCAGTACTGGGTTGTGGCTGGAAGGGCATTCACTGTGTAAATCATGTGTTGGAATAGTTGGCGGTTCATTCCGCTGTGGTGACCTCTGATAAAGACTATTCTAAGACTTCGAGACTAAGCCGAAGGAAAATTGATAAATGACTGAATGGATTATCTGCACAGTGTTGGGATGAATGAAGTACTACTAGATTTTAAATCTAGTTTTCTGTGGCTCTGAACTAAAAGCAATTCTAAAATAATTTCAAAATGTCAAGTTAGAAAGACATATTTACACAGCCAAAAAATAGGGGGGAAAAAATTGTAGGTCAAGAATTGTTTTTTGAGTCAAAACTCAGAATTGGATTGCATCATGATGTCCCTAATTAAGCCCACCTTCAATGAACATCAATATCATCCAGAGACTCCTTTATATCCAAAACTGCAGTGTGTACATGTCATTTACACAAGCAGGACATTCTGTTCTGATGGAAAAATATTCCTCCAAACCATCATTATCTAGCCTTATTTTTTTTTTAAATTATGAGGTTCATAGAGATGCTATTAAAGACCTTCAAAAATAACCCTAATGTTTGATCAGGTCTGGTGAAGAAAGTTGTTCCAAGACTAATAAGGATGCTGTTCCAGGAACACGTTCTACTTGGTTTGGTTTGATTTTACAAAACACGCTCCTAAATCAACAACACTGAGCCTGGAAAAACAGAGTAATGAATTCCTCTAGAATTTCAGGCAGAGGCCTTGGAATAAAACTCGTAATTATCATGCATTGTGCCTTGAAGTGAATGTTTTATCTGTGGTTAAGGCCTGGGAACTAAACTATAGATGCATGTAAATTCTGAGTAAAAAAAAGTAATGAAACGCCACTTTCTTCTAAAATAGGCTTAAATTAAATTAAATTAAATTAAATTAAATTAAATTAAATTAAATTAAATTAAATTAAATTAAATTAAATTAAATTAAATTAAATTGGCTACAATAAAATATAATAAAATAAGCTAAAATAAATAAAATGTAATCAAATTTAAATAAATAAATAAAAACAGGCTAAAATAGGCTAAATTAAAAATAATAAAATCGGCTAAAATAAAATTTAATAAAATTAAAGATAAATTAAATAAATTACAATAAAACAGGCTAAAATAAAATAAAATATGGCTATAATAAAATAATAAATTTAAATAAATAAAAAACAGGCTAAAATAAAAATAATAAAATCGGCTAAAATAAAATAAAAAATAAATTAAATAAATAAAAATAAAACAGGCTAAAATAAAATAAAATATGGCTATAATAAAATTATACATTTAAATAAATAAAAAACAGGCAAAAATAGGCTAAAATAAAAATAATAAAATCGGCTAAAATAAAATAAAAAATAAATTAAATAAATAAAAATAAAACAGGCTAAAATAAAATAAAATATGGCTATAATAAAATTTTATATTTAAATAAATAAAAAACAGGCTAAAATAGGCTAAATAATTATCAAATCGGCAAAAAATGATTTTTAATTAAATAAATTTAAATAAAACAGGCTAGAATAAAATAAAATTAAATTGGCTATAATAAAAAATAAAATAGGCTAAAATTAAAAAGAAAAAAAGAAAAACAAAAGAAAACAACTAGACTTTTACAAGACCTTCATTTGCTAATCTAAAATAATCTTTTAAAATAAAGCCAAAATCGAATGAAAGATTTATTTTGTTCACATTTACTAAGTAAATGCTGTGCTGCACAAAAACAGTATAACAATATAATTCAGTGCCATGGTTAAATCCAAAACCCAACTAAACTAAGGATGAGCGAAGAATTATTCTCCACAATACTCTCTCTCTCAGACTGACACAGAAAGCCAACACAGTGGATTTTAATTCTGAGTGTGACATTTCCTAAACTGTACCACTTTCAGGCTCTTGAAAACTGCTGAGCGTATCAGGACTACATACATAAAACTGTCCAATATCTCTAAAATATTAGCATCAAACGGGAAAAGAAAGTGTACCGTGATTGTTAGGAATTCATAAGGTGTCTGCAGAATTCCTGGTGTCCCAGATGGCTGTGAGTGACAGTAATCATTGCGGTGCAGTCCTCAATGACGGCTGAGGGCACGCTAATGCATCAAGCACAGCACTTTTCAGACCCAGAGCATTGCGAAATGTGTGCGGATTCTCTCTGCACCCAAATAAATATCTGCTTCTGTCAGTGCCACCGCTGCACATTTCACTTCTCCTGCAGGACTTCTTCAGCACTCTTAGGAATTAGATCCCGTTTGAAGGGGATTCTTGGAGACTTTAGTTACAGATACTGCACAGTGATCTTATACAAGTGGGACGTGTTTCTGGATCAAGCTTTTTGCCAGTCAGTCAGAGCTGAACTTAACTCTACCTAATAGGAGTATTGTTTTTTTTTTTTTATAATGCATCAAAAATGTAAACGTTTGCATTCATTGAGGATGTGTTTATTATTATTATTATTATTTTGCATTAGAGATCATTTGAATTTGGTTTTATTAATGTTCTAATATTTTTATGGTTTCCAGTATGCATGCATGTTTGTCAGTGTTAGAGAGGCATTAAGATAAAAATTTCTGATCCAAAATCAAACATTTTGTACCTGCTTAGACGAAAACCGAAACCAAAAATGCTTTTGTAATATTTATTTATTATTTTATTAAATAATATAAAAGTAATTTTGTCAGACTAAATGAACAAATGAATGAATGAATGAATGAATACATTAATGAATAAAAAATAAATAAATAAACATGCTTCTGCAATAATTATTTATTTTTTTATTAAATAATATGAAGTCATTTTGTAAGACTAAATGTATGAATGAATGAATGAATGAATGAATGAATAAACATGCTTTCGTAATAATTATTTATTCTTTAGTTAAATAATAAAAAGTAATTGTGTAAAAATAAATGAATGATTGATGTAACGGATGAATAAATAAACATGCTTCTGTAATAATATTTATTCTTTTATTAAATAGTATAAAGTAAATTTGTAAGACTAAATTAATCAACAAATAAATAAACAAATAAATAAACAAACAAACAACTAAATAAATAAATAAATAGTGGAAACTGGCTAAAATGATATATATACATGTTTTATTAAATATATTAATATGCTCATAATGTATCTTTATTATAATTGATTCTTAAAACAGAACCAAAATCCAATAAACCGGTATTTACCAGGCTTTTTATTTTATTTAACTGTATAATGTCAAAGGATTGGGGTTGTAAAATAAAAATAAAACTGCATAGTAAATTGTGAAATTCCTGTACAATAAAACAAATGTTTTCTATACTACTTTTATTTTAACATATGTTAATTTTATTATAATTCTATTCAGAATTTTGGCTCGATAATTGTAAATAAATAAATAAAAGTATATACGATTTTAAAAAATGTATGTGTTATATATAAATATTAGGGTTTCTACAGGTTTCATTAAGTCAAATGTAAAACTTCAAGACCTTTTTAAAACCATTATAAATAAAATTTCAGACTTGCACAAGGCTAAATGCTAAGGATTTTTTGTAACGGCCCAGTTAAAACATAAAAAAAAATGCATTTGTTATTGTAAGGAAACCCATATTGGCAATAAATTGTTAATAAATAAAGTTTTGGTAAAAGTTTTGGTAAAAAATAGTGATTGGATGTTTGTTGGCCTGATTGGGTTGCTTTACATCAGGCATGTCCAAACTCGGTCCTGGAGGGCCGGTGTCCTGCAAAATTTTGTTCCAACCCCAATCAGACACACCTGGGCTAACTAATCAAGCTCTTACTAGGCTTTCTAGAAACATCCTTGCAGGTGTGTTGAGGCAAGTTAGAACTAAAATCTGCAGGACACCAGCCCTCCAGGACCAAGTTCGGACACCCCTGCTTTACATGGACATAAAAAAGACCTGTTTAAAATAATTTAAGACTTACAGCACAAGTTTTCAGGGATTTTAAGATATACACACACTTCTATACATTTAATCAAAATTGTTTTTTTTATATTTAATTAAACACATTTTACGCCTCACAGCAAGAAGGTCGCTGGTTCGAGCCTCGGCTGGGTCAGTTGGCGTTTCTGTGCGGAGTTTGCATGTTCTCCCCGTGTTGGAATGGGTTTTCTCCGGGTGCTCCGGTTTTCCCCACAAGTCCAAAGACATGTGCTATAGGTGAATTGGGTGAGATAAATCGTCCATTGAGTGTGTGTGTGTGTGTGTGTGTGTGTGTGTGTGTGTGTGTGTGTGTGTGTGTGTGTGTGTGTGAATGAGTGTGTACGGATGTTTCCCACTGATGGGTTGCGGCTGGAAGGGCATCAGCTGCATAAAACATATGCTGGATAAGTTGGCGGTTCATTCCGCTGTGGCAACTCCAGATTAATAAAGGGACTAAGCCGACAAGAAATTGAATGAATGAATGAATACATTTTATACATTTAAATTATATGTATAGTACATTTCAAACATATTTTCAATATATTAAAAATAATTATATTATATAATATTAGTTCTACACATAAATACATTTTATTTGATCTTATTTGATCTTATTTTAGCCTATTTTATCTCATTTTATCTTATTTTATTGGTCCTTTCTGAATAAAAGTATTCATTTCTCACCCAGACCTCAAACTTTTTAAGTATATCTGAAAGAATCTGAAAAGCAAACAGTATGTCCGAATGTGACAACAAAAAGGACCAGTTAACAGATGACCTCAACAACAGGGATAAAAGAGAGAAATAAAAAGGGTAAAAGCTTTGTTATTGAAAATAATAACACAAGACAACAGTGGCGGCGCAGCTAAAAGGTCACAAACACAATATGACCATGAATGTTGACTGTTCAGTGCAAGCTCTGCAAACAAGGCCAGGTTAAATGCAGAAGAAAACGACCAATAAACAAAAGAAAATCTTCAGAAGCAGTATATAAATGTGCTCTTTCATTAGTGTAGCAGCTGCTTTTAAAGGTCAGTGTGTGTTGTGTGCTCACTCACAGTGGACTGTGGTCTGCTGGAGTCCTCAGAGTCCAGAGAAATGGCATCGAGGGGCGGGGCGAGGGCGGGGTCACTGCTGCTCCGCACTGAGAGAGGCGTGGCTAATGAGAAAATAGAAGAAAAAAAAAACACAGTTAGAAATAAAAAATTTAATAATTCTGCATTTGTCAACCTGGATTAAATGTAAAACACAATGATCTAGAACTTAATGGGCCATGAAACCTCCCTCTTTTGGTTCAAGTATACGTCAGAATTAAAACAATGCATCATGATGGGCGTGGAGCGCTGCGAGCAGAGGTAGGAGTGGGCGTGGCCAGCAGTGCAGGGGAGAAAGGATAAGCGAAGAACTATCAGTCAGCTCACAAAATGAGACGCATACCGTGAGGAGACCCGTGATTTTAAAGCTAAACAGTAAACAGTCATTTAATGTCCTGCTACATTTGTTATTTGTAATATAACCATCATAAAGATAATCGTGTTTATATAAACACTTTAAATGAGGAGGACTCCTCTCCTCCTAAATCCTCGGAGCTGAAAGCAGACACAGTGGTAATACAGTGCAGCAGGTCTCTTGCCTGGTCTATTCCAACCATTAGCCCTCCCGGTAATCTGGAAGATTTTAAACCTAAGCGAACACAGCAGCACAGATATAGGCGATGTGTCTGAATGGTAACGAACTCAACTGGTAAAAGACAGCCATCACCCAATACTTGTACAGCTCTCCCGACAAAAATGCTAGCTGCAAGTGGGGGAAAATATGCAACAAACCCAGTGGATTATGGAAAAAAACACCTACGACCTGTGTCATGCACATTATTGCATAAAAAACATTATTTATTTAGTTATTTTGTTTATTTACGTATTTATTTGTTTATTTATAGCTCATTTTTTATTTTATTTTTTTAATATTCATTTTAATTCAAGGAACGATTTGAATAAGATTTTATTTTATTATTTAAAAATGAACTTTAAAAAGTTAAGGATCTGAGCATGTTTATATATTTAATAAAACATGAATGTATATCATTTGAGCCAGTTCCCACTTTGCAGCTTTATTTATTTTTAATATTATTTGCATTATTTTAGGCTTTTACTAAATTTTTAAACTTTTAGTTATTCAGTTTTGTTTTTGACTTTAGTTATTAATTTATTTATTTCCATTTTAGTTTTTAAAATTGTATTACATTTTATTTTTATGCAATGAATTTAATAATCATTGTGGTAGTATGTTGATGCCATGATTTTTTGTTTGTTCATTCACTTATTCATTCATTGATTTTTTTTATTTAATGAGCACAGTATTTTCTGCTTATTTATTCATGCATTTTTAATATCATCCTTTTAATTTTTTTGCATAAAAAAAGCTTTTTTAAAACGTTTTCTGTTTCTATTAGACACACTGGATCATATGACCACAATAGAAATTACAATAAAAATCACCACATGAAAGCAAAGCAACACATTCTCACGCAACCCAAAAGAGAAAAATATGAAAAACATGAAAATAGAAAAACATGTAAGTGAACAAGAGCAGATTTCAATACACAAACTCATCAGTTCTGCTAAACGTCTTCCATCACAAGCATTTGTCTGCTTTTGATAAGAAGGACAACATCCAATGCTAAGACTCAGCAGAAAAGAGAACGGGATGCTGAATCCATCAAAAACAGCTCTGTCTTTTACAGGAACCGAACTTGCAGAGGGGGTTTATATGAGGATTATTCAAGCCAATGTCCTTGGCCTCCATTCTGAAGAGGATCTTTAAGAGCTTCTGAGATAAGACACTACAACTAAACTATCATGAAGGATGTGGGATGAAGGTCGAAACTCACACATTACTGCTCGTGAAACAGCTGAATCATGAGAAACTGGGTTTTCCATACCATGAAAATACACTCATACAAATAAGAATCTGTAAGGTAAAAAGATAAATATCCAACTTCCTTTTCGGTTTTAAATTTTGCTTCATAAATAAATGAAATAAATAAATAAATTGATAAATAAATTGATAAATAAATTAATTAATTAATTAATAAAAAGAAATACATAAATAAAATAAAATACATAAATACATAAAAAACTTATCAAATAAACAATAAAATAAATAAATGAAAACATAAAATAAACAAAATAATTAAATATGTAAATGCATAAAATAAAAATAAATACAAAGAATAAACAACTTAAATTAAACAAAATAAATATACATATAAATAAATAAAATAAACAAAATAAATAAATACAAAAAAACTATTTTTGTAGGCATTGTAGGTAGACTTTTTTGTAGGTATTGTCATGTTTGATGTGTGTGCCAATTTTCATACATGTGCGTGAAACGTAGCCTGGGGGCAAATGTACATAGGTGGCATTGTCACCACATTTTGCCACACCCACTTCTAAAAACCATAATAATAATAATAATAATAATAATAATAATGGAGCAATTCAAAGTGCGCAGTCCCTAATAAATGACAGATATATACTAAAATCAATAAGATGTATAAAACAAATTCTCCAACAAAAAAAGAGCAATAAACTATACATGTATTGAAGGTTAAGTAAGGGTATAGTAACCCAATTGTGCATTGTCAGGAGCCACAGGCATTTTTTATTAATTATTATTTGATATTAATTCTGTTTTTAAGTCAAGTCATTGGATTACATTACGTCATTCAACAAGGACCCCGATTTCATCAAAAAAAAAGTCTCAGACATCTTCAATGGCCTGAAAGCGGTAAACTAACAGCAACTGTAAATGTTTGGGTGAATGATACCCTTTACAACAAGTCTATTGAGAAAAAGATTTAGTCTCATTACATTTGCTCAAAATGGCAAACTTTAGGAGCAAAACTGAACACTAAAATCTGTCATTTTTATATTTACAGCCCAGAACCCAATCACAATCACAACATCATGCATTTACAATTCAACCTCAAAACAACATTAAACTTCAAACCTCACAAGAGAGAGAATTATGATAGACTACCTGTCAAAAAGTTTGATGGATTGTAGCCCCGCCCACTAAGGCGGGACTTCCGGTCTAAGCCCCGCCCCTTTTATATAAACTTTATAGTTCCGGTAATTAGATTCTTATCGGTTTAATATAAAATAATAGTTCCGGTAATTAGATTTTTATCGGTTTAATATAAATAATAGTTCCGGTAATTAGATTTTTATCAGACTAATTAAATTAATAGGTTATTTCAGGTAATTAGTGTTGTAAATTATATTTATTAAATTACATCAAATTATATTATATTATATTAAGTTGTATAAAATTAATATTTTATTAAATAATATTATGTATTATATTTTATCATATTAAATTATATTAAATCATTATGTTATTAATTTATATTATAATATATTATTATATTATATTATTATAATATTAATATTTATATTAAATTTAATTATTTGTATTATATATCATTATTATTCTATTATACTATAGCATTACATTATTTATATCATTACATTATTCTATTTAATTATATTATATTATTAAATTATGTTATATCATTACATTATATTATATTATATATCATTATTATTATATTATATTATATTAAATTATACTATATTATATTATATTATATTATATTATATTATATTATATTATATTATATTATATTATATTATATTATATTATAATTAATAAACTATTAACATAAACATTTCTTTATGTTTAGCCTGTTTGTGTTTCCTCTTTGTGTCAGTCTGTGTCTGAGCGTGTGATGATAAGGAAAACTTTGGATAACATCCCGTCAACTGCTTGTGAAAGATAGATTTATATCAGATGTAGAATATGTATATCTGATTGTATGTGTTGGGTGTCTCCCACTAACTACTATATGTTGTTAGGTGATTAGAAAGTGTGCTGATATCTATATATCCACACGCAGTCAACTGTATGCATATGTATGTATGTGTGTGTGTGAGTGTGAGTGTGTGTGTGTGTGTGTGTGTGTGTATGTGTGTGTGTGTGTGCGCTCGAGAGAACTTGGGTCTGGCTTTGTATGTTTGAATACATGACACAGTATTTACTAAATATGTTCATTAATAGGTTATGTTGTTTTTGTTACATTATTACTACATTAATACATATTTAAAGACACACAAACTTTTTAATGTATCTTTGTCTGACTATTAAATTTAAATATGTTTACAATATTTCTTGTCGGCTTAGTCCCTTTATTAATCCGCGGTCGCCACAGCGGAATGAGCCGCCAACTTATCCAGCAAGTTTTTACGCAGCGGATCACCTTCCAGTCGCAACCCATCTCTGGGAAAATGTTTACAATATTAATCCAGTAAATAACAAATCTTAATCTGTATTAACAATAAATTGTCACACCTTTTAAAACAACGTTATCTAAAATGTAATGTTCTAAACTGTTGGTTGAAAAACACAGATGTAAATTCAAGTTGTCTTTATAATTAATGAAAACTTTTATTATGAAAAACAATTTAAAATGAAAGTTTTTCCTTTGACTAACATGTTTTCAATTTATTTACATGCATGACCTGTAATTTATGGCACACATTGTAATACAGTTAATCCAAAGCCTAATGTTTTAAGCACTGGTCATCACTGGTGTTGGTTTAAAAAATCTACATAAAATATTTACTAAAAAGGACTTATCAGTCTTTAGACATTATTGTTATTTCTGTTTCAAAAGATAAATAAAATGTAATTTTATTACAATAAATTGTAGTAATTGCATTACTAGACAACTTAGTTACTGAATTTTAAATTCAAACGTTTCAAATGTTTTTTATTCATTGCAAATACTTGATCATATAAAGAGAAATATGTATATTATTCAGAATAATGGAATATCACTGATATTTATTTTAAGAAGAAAAATTGGCTCTCAGTTTATCTAAAAACAGTACAGCTCCAGCCCTTAGTTAAATCTACTTAATGTTTTATAGTAAAATTTTCTAGTTTAACTACTGAATCCACCATTTACATGTTCATACAATAGTGTCAAATCTAGTAAGTTTACAAATTTGTCAAAATTAGTCAAGTTTACAAGTAGTTCTTGAAAGTAGACTGATTACTTTTTTACAGGGTAAATGATGCTTTTCTTATACC